TTCCGCAATCCCGACGGCGTCTCCATCCCTTCCCTTTCTCCCCCCCAGCCCCGTCCTCAAGCCGGTTCCTGGAAGAAGCTGGAGCTCTCCCACGAATACAAAAACCACAACCAGCTGCGCGAATATCAACTGGAAGGGGTCAACTGGTTGCTCTTCAACTGGTACAACAGGCGAGTGGCGGAACGGGATGCGGGGGACGCGCAAGGGGACGTTGCCACCGCTCCCAACCGCCAACCGGCCGCCTCCTTCGCCTCCCCGCAGGCAGAACTGCATCCTGGCCGACGAGATGGGCTTGGGCAAGACCATCCAGTCCATCGCCTTCTTGCAAGAGGTCTACAACGTCGGTATCCGCGGTCCTTTCTTGGTCATCGCCCCGCTTTCCACCATCACCAATTGGGAGCGGGAGTTTAATACCTGGACGGAGATGAACAGCATCGTCTACCACGGTAGCTTGGCCTCCCGGCAAATGATCCAACAGTACGAGATGTACTGCAAGGACTCGCGGGTAGGGTGGCTTTGGATCTTCTCGGCCTCCGGACCTTCCTAAGAACCTCTTCCCGAGTTTTGGGGGGCGAGGTCGGAGCCGCTTTCCCTCCTTTTATCCCCGCTCCAGGGTCGTCTCATCCCCGGAGCCTACAAATTCGACGCTCTCATCACCACCTTCGAGATGATCCTCTCCGACTGCCCCGAGCTGCGGGAGATCGAGTGGCGGTGCGTCATCATCGACGAGGCTCACCGCCTGAAGAACCGCAACTGCAAGTTGCTCGACAGCCTCAAGCACATGGACTTGGTGAGACGCGGGGTGGAGAAAGGGATAGGGGACGGGGAGACCCCAACTCTTCTCCGTGGGGCAGAGCGGGGTTTCCTCAAGGTGTGCGTGGGGTCTTGGTTGTATCTGGAGATGTTTGGGAATGTCCCACACCCAGGGGATGGTCCTGAAGGTGTGCGTAGGGTCTTGGTCGCGTCTGGAGATGTTTGGGAATGTCCCACACCCCAAGGGATGGTCCTGAAGGTGTGCGTAGGGTCTTGGTCGCGTCTGGAGATGTTTGGGCACGTCCCACGCCCCAAGGGATGGTCCTGAAGGCGTGTGTGGGGTCTTGGTTGCATCTGGAGACGTTTGGGAGTGTCCCACGCCCCAAGGGATGGTCCTGAAGGCGTGTGTGGGGTCTTGGTTGCATCTGGAGACGTTTGGGAGTGTCCCACGCCCCAAGGGATGGTCCTGAAGGCGTGTGTGGGGTCTTGGTTGCATCTGGAGACGTTTGGGAGTGTCCCACGCCCCAAGGGATGGTCCTGAGGTGTGTGGAGGAGTCTTGGTTGCATGTGGAGATGTTTGGGAGTGTCCCACGCCCCAAGGGATGGTCCTGAAGGTGCGCGTGGGGTCTTGGTTGTGTCTGGAGATGTTTGGGCATGTCCCATGCCTACCCCACCCCAAACCCTAATGTTCTGCACCCCTTGGTCATCAGGAACACAAAGTCCTCTTGACGGGCACCCCGCTCCAAAACACGGTGGAAGAGCTCTTCAGCCTCCTGCACTTCCTGGAGCCCTCCCAGTTCCCTTCTGAAGCAGAGTTCCTCAAGGATTTTGGGGACCTCAAGACGGAGGAGCAGGTGAGGACATCGGGAGGACCCCGCACCCTTCCCCGGCCATCTGGGTCCTACCCGACCGGCGGTGACTTCTCCCCGCTGCTCCCACCCGCAGGTGCAGAAGCTCCAGGCCATTCTCAAGCCCATGATGCTCCGTCGGTTGAAGGAGGACGTGGAGAAGAACCTGGCGCCCAAGCAGGAGACCATCATTGAGGTGGAGTTGACCAATATTCAGAAAAAATACTACCGGGCCATCTTGGAGAAGAACTTCTCCTTCCTCTCCAAAGGCGCCGGTCACACCAACATGCCCAACCTGCAAAAAATGCTCAAGTGTTGCAACCTCCCCTACCTCATCAACGGTGAGGAACCAGGGCTGGGCGAGGGCGTGGCGGGGTGTCCCTGCTTCTCCTGGCCTTGCCCTTTCTTCCACTTGGTGGCCTCTTGGATTTGGGGTTTCTCTTCCCCGACCTCCGTCGAGCCGCTTGGCGGGCTCAATGTTGCGATGGAGGACCTCCTCCAGCTCGTCTAGTTGGGTTTCGCTGCCCCTCGAGTTCTTGCTTTGGCGGCGGGGTGTCTCTCGAAGATCTCACGCGCCACCCCGCTGACGGTCCCGTCCCCAACCCGACAGGCGCGGAGGAGAAGATCTTGGCCGAATTTCGGGAATCTTGCCACCACCACGTCCCCCACGACTTCCACCTCCAGGCCATGGTCCGCTCGGCCGGCAAGCTGGTGCTCATCGACAAGCTGCTGCCCAAGCTGAAAGCCGGCGGTCACAAGGTGCTCATCTTCTCCCAGATGGTGCGATGCCTCGACATCTTGGAGGACTACCTCATCCAGAAGAGGTGAGAGGTGGGGCGACGGGTGGCCCGGGGTGGGACACCCTCGTGCCCTTCCCCGAACGCGGTTCTCCTTGACCCCGTAGGTACCTCTACGAGCGGATCGATGGACGGGTACGGGGCAACCTACGGCAAGCTGCCATCGACCGCTTCAGCAAACCCGACTCGGATCGCTTCGTCTTCCTCCTCTGCACGCGGGCGGGCGGCCTGGGCATCAACCTCACCGCCGCCGACACCTGCATCATCTTCGATTCCGATTGGAACCCCCAAAACGACCTCCAGGTAACCGCCAGCTCCACCCCACCACTGTGCACCTTGGCGTCACCTCGTCTCCAACTTCGCCTGACCCACCATCATCTTCCTCCAGGCTCAAGCGCGGTGCCACCGGATCGGGCAGAGCAAGGCGGTGAAGGTGTACCGCCTCATCACGCGTAACTCCTACGAGCGGGAGATGTTCGATAAGGCCAGCCTCAAGTTGGGGCTCGACAAGGCCGTGCTGCAGTCCATGAGCGGGCGCGAGGGCAACATCGCGGGGGTAAGGGTTCTTCCGAGGGAAACGGGGCGTGAAGGTCTTGGGATGAGGTCTTCTAAGGGAAACGGGACGTGAAGGCCACAGGGATGGGGTCTTCCAAGGGAAACGGGGCGTGAAGGCCATGGGGATGGGATCATCCAACGGAAACAGGACATGAAGACCACAGGGATGGGGTCTTCCAAGGGAAACGGGACGTGAAGATCACGGGGATCTTCCAAGAGAAATGGGGCGTGAAGATCTTGGGAATGGGATCTTCCAAGGGAAATGGGGCGTGAAGATCACGGGGATGGGGTCCACCAAGGGAAATAGGGTGTGAAGATCTTGGGAATGAGCTCTTCCAAGGGAAATGCGTTGTAAGGACCTTGAGGAAGGGATTGTCCAAGGGAAATGGGGGTGCGAAGACCACAAGGATGGGGTTTTCAAAGGAAAACAGGGTGTGAAGATCTTGGGAATGGGATCTTCCAAGGGAAATGAGGC